AACATCAGAAACACCAAAGAAAGTACCTTCCACGCTGAACTTGATCAATTATGCTGAAAATGACAATCTACATATAAAACATTATGCAAAGTCACCAATATGTTGCTTATTCACAAAATAAACAGTGCCAAAGCGTTTTGAACATCAAATTTACCCTAGTATCATCCTTCATATCACCAAATAGCCATACATTGAAAAACTGACAGACTATGGGTGCAATATCACCTTCATTGCGTTGAGTTGAGTTCAGCACCCATTTCTGTATGTATGTTAACTAGCGAGTCATCACCTTCATTGCATATTGGCTTTTGTTCGTAGGCGGTTGTTATATGCTTTTGCAAGCTAATTGACATTAACTGAAAGGTTGTCGCAGCATTCATCATATGTTGCACTGTGTGTTTATTCTAGTGTTCATGGGAACTACTGCATGTATTTCATGACAACTGATGTTGTTTGTAGAGAGATCATTGATTTTCACAACTCATCTGTTGTCGTAATGCATTTGTTTGGTAATTTATCTGATGCTGAGCATAGGAAGGCTATTGCATCTATAACTTATTTGCTGTCATCATTGCTTTCCAGGATTTGCAAGATTTATGCATACAGTACAGTAACGCGTTGTCTATTGTCCATTATTGCTTTTGTACGGGCTACTGTATGCACGATAGTTCTTGGTTCTTGCTCGTATATAAACTATCAATCAATGTTACATCCATCATACGTTGCATGCCAAATCCTTCTAGTTGTATTTGTTTACATGATTGATATAGACGTCGCTTGCTCTCATTTGCAGGTTAATTTGGCTGAATATTCTAAGCTATTTTGATTTCATCGTTCATCATTTGTATGCATTGAGAATTTTTTCATTATGAGTCTTTTGTTTGCTTGCATGAGATTCATTTGAATGCATTTGAATGATTAAAGTTATTATTTGGTTTTGATATTTTCATTTTTGATCTTGAGTTTATCAATTTAAAGTTCAATTCCCTGCTATTTGTTCGAGTTCAAGTTCAATTCATCGTTGTTTGTTCAATGTCAATTTCAAGCTTTGTCCCATGTTGTTTTGTTTAAGTTTCAGGCCCCCTGTCAATAAAAAATCCTGTAGCCTCATGGCATCTCCCCCTTTTAGGGGAAATTCTAGGAGTCTGGCTTTCCCGCCATGCTAGAGAAAGCATGTATTGTAGGTGTTGGATGACACCGCGACCGTATATCTTCAATCCCACTATGTCAGAGAAAGGCGTGTATGAGTCTTCGGGGTATATGTTTAAAATGCGCAGTTATTTCCCCGTTGGCATTGAGGCATCTACGGGTACTTATGTTCGTCCCCACTGTACTAAAGAAAAGCTCGTACGAGGCCTACCCGCCTCGCCGTAGGTGCCGCACCGGGTTCCCTTCCCACCATTCTAGAGAAAAACATGTATGAGTGATTTTCCGGTGCGCTGCGAATGCCGAAAACGAGTTTTGAGGATTTTCTGAGTTCGAGATCATTATACCTTCTTGATATGATAGTAGCAGTGGTGTCATGGTGGCGACGACTATAATGCACAAAGCTTCCCTTTTTTATTTTTTTCTCTTTTTTATATAAAAAATACTAATATTATTATTGTATTACTATTATATTATTATAATATTACTATTATATAACATTAATAATATCATTAATAATGATAACAACAATAATATTATTAGTAATTATATAAATAGTAGTATAATATTAATACTTATATTAACATTAATATCAATTAATATTAATAATAATAACAAAAAACGCAATAAAGAAAAAACTAGAGAGAGGGATTACCCTCTCTTGTTGGTTTGTGTGGGATTGGAAGGGGATTCGGCCGCATGTATAGGAAGGGACGGGCGACTGGAACGAGAGGTGATCGAAAGAGTTGGAGTGGGATTTTGGCAGGATCAACAAAGGCATCGGCTATGGGAAGTTGGGTCGGTAGATGAAGAAGAGTGGAGGTTGAGGCAGATCAGTTTGAGGTTGTTGTCTGTGAAGGAAATCAGAAGATAGGGACGGGATTTGCGGGCTCGATCGACCAGGTAGGTCATGGAATTGAGATGGGAGCTGGCTTGGAGGAGTTTGATGGGTAGAGGTCAGATGATGGGAGTGCTTGATTCGGCTACAGGCGGAAGCATGAGGTCTTATGTGGATCTTGCATTAGGTTTGAATGGGATAAAGGGCTAGGTTCGGATAGACAGGATCGTGTGGATAGGAGGACGGAGCGTGGAAGAAGATGGGGTTGCGACAAGATCCGGAGAAGAGGCAGGAGTGGAAGGCTAGGCTGTAGTCGTTTGAACGTTTAGAAGCAGCGGGGTGTCGGGTTTATGGCCACGAAATCCAGTGGTTGGTTGTCGATGGCTTTGAAACGGAGGCTTTGGTTCGAGTGGGAGGAAGAAGTCAATGTCATAGTGAGGTTTGGATCGTATGAGGTAGGATGTTTAAAGGTCGGGATTTGTCGAGTGATGGAAGGGGTTCGACTAAGGGTTCAATTGCAGGTCTGGTGGTCGCAAGGTTGTGAAGAGTTGGGAAGACATTTGGCCGAGGTTCATGTGTCAAAGCAGAACCAAAGACTTTCTTTGTTTCTCATTTTATCGATGTGAATAAGGCGACGATCGAGGTAAACCACAGGATATAGGGGAAGAGACTGAGCAACCCCAACACAGAGGGTTCAGCGGGATTTCAGGAAATCAGCAGAGATCCAGGGATTTGATTAGAGCTTCGTAGAAGTACGAGTTTTTTTTTTATTGATTTTTTTTTTTGTAGAGGTCAACAAGCATCTAATCCAATTTTAAAAGATTCCCTTTGTCAAGGTAACTCAAGGCTGTCGACAAAGATTCTTTGGTCAAATTGAGTCAACTACCTCTTATGATTAAGTAGATCGAGGACCATGATGTGATAACCCAGGACAATGGAACCATGAGAAGTGATAACCCATCATTCGCTTAGTAGCTAGATCATAAAGTCCTCATGAAATGAGGGCGAAATCTTTATGCAATATCTTATCTTCAATCTAATTTGCCTTGTGAAAATTTGATTTGGAAAACACCAAAACTCTCTTAGCACAGGCCGGAGTGTAAAATTTTGGAGCTTGCAAAATACTATTGTGGATAAACTTTTGAAATAACTAAACTTATAATGGAATCTGATTAACTACTGATGTGCTCATGGTTTAAAATTGCGCAATATGAGGCTCGCCTTGAGGCCCGCCTTTGCGCAATTCCAGTAAGAAACGCGTCGATGCTTATGCCTCAAGTTTTTTTATGAGGCTTGCGCCTCAACTTGGTTGAGGCCCGCCTCACCTCACTGGCATGAGGCTTACGCCTCACGCTATATATATTAAAACTTACATAAATCTTGAAGTAAGTGCCCGACATTGGACTCTATAGGAGAGGAGGAAGGGGAGAGAGCAGTTCATCATAATGATGATTCAAATGAAGAACCCCTTAGTGATGACAGTGCTGATGACTTATGAGTTCTTATGTGATATGCATTGCTATTTATTTTTGGAAATTGAAATTATATGTTAATGAAAAGAATACTGGGATTTGGGAAAGATAGAATTTTGAGTTGAACTATATTTCATGTTGTCTTATTATTGGGATATTTTGATTTCACTTCATATCTTATACTTTTTTATGTTTTATATTATTCACTCATTAGTATATAAAAAATTTATCATTTTATGTTTACGCAATCTTTTGATTTTGAGGCTTATGCCTCAAAACGCCTTGAGGCTTACGCCTCGCCTCACAAATGAAAAACACCTCAATACCCGAATACGCAATTTTAAACATTGGATGTGCTATTATATACATTTTTGATATATCAAAATGTAAAGTTAGTAATTTGTAAATTTTTTATCATTATTATTTAGTATGCCCTCTTGATTGACAATATTTGCACTATTATTCTTTCACAATTTAGCGTTCGTATTTATCTACATATAGGTACAATACTATTGCCAAATCAAACTATATTTTTTTAGTATTAAATAGCAACATATTATAGAAACTAGAAATTAGCAACTTCAAAGTTTTTCACGCAACTTAAACATACTGCAGTATCAAAATATATCATAACATCTACTTGTTATGACATCAAAATAGGGAAAAAATGTGAATCACATCACAGACAATATTATTACTCTAGTTTTAAGAGAGGGGGATTACAGTAACTCATCATCATCATTAGCCTTGTATAAATTAGTCATAGTTAGCTTTATAAAAGCTTTCTAATCTCACAAAAAACATTTCAAATGTTCTTTATGATTCGTGGAATTGATTTTGCTTCTTTAATTGGTTTTGAGTATGCTGAAACCTTTTACTGTTGTTGTCATGATTATGCGACTAATTGGACTAAATCCTCTAGTATTGATACAAAGGTCCTTATATTCTTGTGTTTACTTTCAAGTCAACTTTGCAATGCACCCACTCAACCTTGAAGTCAATCAGGTCAGTCCCGTTATGAAATAAAAAACTGAAATGTGCTTATGCAGAATTCTATGGACCAATACATTTTTAGGTGGCTAATGATTGTTCCATAGCCTCTTACGTTCTATGGTTTAATTATTTAATAGAGCTTAACACCTACAATTAATGAGTCGTGTAATGCAATATATCTTTTTGGACTAAAATAAGATGTTTAATGTAACATCTAAGGATCTTTTGATTAATCGAACTAATTTCTAGTGCATAGTTCTCAACCATAGACTATGATTGAGAGAATTGTTATAGTAAATTAATCAGTAAATAGTATTAATAGAGATTTCGATATTGCACATGGTACCTGTTGGTGATGTGGAGAAGGGTATTCTTAAATTAGTGGGCTTTTGATTTTGTTGCTTCTATATTCATGTCTATCATGCTATTTTGTATCTAAGCTGTTCTAATCCATACTAGTATGATCTCATATTTTTCTGTATCACACATTATAGTCCTCTGCATATCAGCTTGTTGTGCAAAAATGTAACTAGAATATACTCTTCTTTCAGGTGCCTTTCCTGACTTGGCACATATATTGTATATGTTGCAACATCAAAACTGAAGAGTGGGTGAGTATTTTCATGTACAAATATTTCCATGAGCAACTTCATACCTTTCTGTGTTTAACCCAGGCAGGAACCATTAAGTAGGTTAACTGGAGAAAATACCCTGAATTTCAACTTGTAACTCAGCCTCAACAAGGTTCTTTCACTAAAATATTTCCATTTGGTACTTTTCTTGGAGATTACTTGCTCAATTTACCAGTTGTACTTCCTTTCTATTGTCTTCTCAGCAAGTCCGTTCACAGTAACTAAGTTTGTGAATCCATATAACAAAGGTATTCTTACCAACGTCAGAGAGTATTTGATACAAAGTTTACCTGCTAAGCACCTTGTAGTCTAATGATAAAGTGGCGCCTTTATCTGACAAATGCATTGGCTTATGATATGAGTATAAAAGCTATACGTGATTGACCCTCCACTTTGATTCACTCAACAAGTGCCAATGGACTTTGGAACTTGTTTGGTATATTCTTGGAGGTACAGTAGTTTCATTCATGAATTCGTTGCACATCTAATATCCACAATCAAAGAATATTTTCTTCTTCTTTATTTCTTTGAATAGTTAATGCCTTCTGAATTATGATAGAATTTCATTGATTCTTGTTTTAGAAAATGCTGAAATTTTCTTTATAGAATTCAGGGGAATGGTACTGCTGAAAGCTAGATATTTCTTGTCGTTTGTTTCTTAGCATTGTCAATTTCTTCCAAATTTTCTTCTGTAGCAATGGAATCATACTCTTCTTTGAAATCGCTTAGAAACATTTCAAGCAGTTATATGATCTTACTTTTTTAATTTACTGATTTTGATCATAGTGGTTTTGTTCCATTGGGGGTTTAAGTCATAAGCTTGACAATATTTTGGAGCCTAATTATTGAGTAGGACTTGAAGGGGAAATCCACTGCATCATGTTTTTCACTAAAATTAGTTTTATTTTGCAGTACGGTCTATTTGATCAAGGGCGAGTTCTTCTACCTTGAAGCTTGCTGCTCTATTTTCAACCAGCTGGCATTGCAATGCCAATGCACGCCCATTTCATGCCAATTCTCACGCAGTATGAAGATTTTGGTAGTGCATGACTTAAAATGCTAAGATTATAAAAAAAGAATTAGAGCATTGTTGAGTAGAGAGCAGTCTGAGTCATTCTTTCATTGAAAGAAGCTGTATTTGGGAACCGATGAAGGATCATTTTTAAAAGGCTTGTAAAGGAAGAGCTCACGGTTACACTTCCAAATGTTTTGTGATCGAAAAAATGAGGTAGCTATGATGCACATATACATACACGGCAACACGGACATGACACGACACGGAGACTAGACACGTCAATTATTGAAAATATAGGACAAGGGCACGAGTTGGACACAATATTATAATTTTTATACTTTAAAAACAATATATAAAAATTAAATAAGTATAATCTTAAAAATAATTTAGAAATAACAAATCATTTAATTGGAATCTGTGCTTAAAATGATTAATATTAGGATGTTGAGAGTCAGACGTCGATGTCGTGTATTAGATATCGAGAGAGAAGACGACAATGCTATCGAGAGTCAAGCATCGATGTTATGCAGTAAGTATCTAGCATCAATGTCAAGAGTGCGTCAGTCGTCGATGTTGAGAGAAAATAAGAAATTTATTTTTTATATTTTAAATACAAGAAATTATATTTAAAATTTTTTCATAAAATATTTACGACATGCATGTCGAATTTGTATTCAAAAAATTTTTAATTAGACATGTTTTCGTCTTGTACAACACATGTCAGAGGTGTGTTAAACACGTGTTGTGTCGAACACTGCATGCCTCTTTGAGGAGAAATGTTAGTGCATCAGAGGTAGGAAAAAATATTGAGAAATTCTTCTTTTGCTCTGTTAGCTTTCAAATTAGAGCCAATCAACTTGACAGTCAAGCGTGGCTTTTATTGAAATATTATAGAGCTCCTCAATGCTTGACAGCTAGTCCTAGAATCCTAACCTAGTTGCTGCCATGGTAGCACATGCTCGCTTTTATAAGCTTTGAACAATCGATTAGCATTATATAATACTTAATATAACATACAATAACAACAACAACAACATATAACAACAATATTAAGCTTTTATCCCACTATGTGGGGTCGGCTACATGAATCATTTTTCTCCATCGTGTCTTGTTAAAAGTCAAATTCTCATTTAAATCTCATAAAGAAAGATCATTTCTAATATTTTCTAACCTAGCCTTTTTAGGTCTACCTCTACCTTTTTTAACATAGGACAAATCTAATACATCTACTCTCCTAACAAAGTCATCAAAAGGCCGACATTTTACAAGACCAAACCATCTAAGATGACTCTCTATAATCTTATCTGTCATTGGAACTACTCCAACCTTTTCCTGAATATGATCGTTTTGTATCCTGTCTCTAAGAGTAAGTCCACTCATCTACCTGAGCATCCTCATCTTAGCAACACTTAATATTATGCTTCTCTTTTAACGACCAACATTCTGTGCCATAAAGCATGCAAAAGAATTTGAGAATCAACGCTTTGCACTAAAAATAAGTTAAATTAAGTATGTGTTCGAGATTTAAAGTTTTCTGGTCTCAAATTTTAATGTAGAGGATGAGTCGACAAGTTCAGTGAAATAGATGGAAGGCTGCAATTATTTATTGTGGGAGAAGTAAGCATGGATGACAATGAAGATGGAATAAATAGTATTGAAGATTAGATAATCCCTAGCTTACAAATGTTACAAATTTTAGATTATATATGCAAGTTGGTTAAACATGCTACTTTTTATCAGACAATCTATTTCTCAAGATGTTGGAAATTGAATGCAATTAAACTTGATATATTTATATTTATACTCTTCATTTTTTTTTTCATTATCGAAATAGGCTTATTAAGTGAAATTATTTATTATCTCTATCTAGCATCTCACTTAGCTATGGTGAGCACTTGGCTCTCAGTTTTTGGGAAGTCCATAACCTTGAGGGTACCTAATTCTGTTTAAACATTAGTTCTCATAGGCTAATGGTCATGGTCTGAGGAGATGGATAGTAGTAAGCAGGCAAGTTCATTCTATTAGATGTCAGTATTTGCTAATGATGAGTTGCAATTGGTTCATTTTGATGTTTTCAATGCTTGAAATAAACTTTTATTTTAGCAAATGGTACTTGATAGCTGTATGTTTGAGTGAAATGTATAATGGAAAAATATTATCTTGAGATGCCAAGTTCTTCCTTTTTAAATAACATGACCCATCAGGCTTTTTATGATTTATTGGTAATGTTTAAAGAAAAGCAAAGCACAGAATACTTACTGTACATTAGCGTATGATTTGCACTAACTTTTTCTACTTTTTGCTTTCTTATCCTTGTCATGTTCATGCGGCAGCCTTTAGTGTAATAATTCTTAGAGAGTTTAATATGCCACAAAATAAAAGAAAATACTGATAAATACTGTTGGATTAGCCAATTTATAAGAGTGCACTATTATCCATTCATTTTATATTATTTATGTGCATTATTTTTGGAAGTAATATGTTGATCTTATGGGGCTTGGCCGTTGTGAAGTCCAAGGAAGGTAGCTACTCGCAAAGATTGTCATTTTCATGATTAGAGCCTGTGAACTCCAATGGGAGAAGGTTACTATGGATCACATCAGAACATACTCATGTTAATTGTGCTTTGCATTTAAAGATTGTCATTTTCATGATTAAGCTATGGGTGTCTTTCTGAGAGATTGTTGTTTTGTTTAATCTTCCATAATCTGGATGTTTGACAAACATGACTTGCATGCTTTCAGGTAAATTGACTCAAACTTGTTTGGAAGAATGGAGCTTCTCGGCACATAGTTCACCTACTTGTTTCAGAAATGGAGGTCGCATTGGCTTTTATTTTGTCATTATTTGTCTTGTTTTTACTTGATGCCATATCTATTCCTTTTTTGTCCATATGGAAATTGCACAGCTGCAATTCCTGTATATGCTGCACTTTTTGTTATCTTGCAGGCTAAGATAGTTAGCAAATGATATGTTTATGCTGCAATTGTTCATGTACTGTGATGGCTCTTATCTTCTTAAATAAAAAAAAAGTATAATTATATATAATATGATAACTTCAGTCTTAAATTTTTCTGTAATATTTGATATCATAGAAATTTTGTCATTATTCTCAAATTTAAATGATTTGAATTTAATGAAAATTCAATTCATCTTGACACTTGTACAGTTCAGCAATTTATTGTCCACATGATAAGCAGTGCAATGAATCCCATGATAGTTTACATCGGACAGTCTGAGGCCAATCAGAATGCGTCACGTCACTCGGTATCTAGCACCGGTACCGAGCAAAAAAATGACGTGACACATTTTGATTGGCCGCCGGACAACGTCTGGAGTCCGCACATAATACTTTATCCATTTGTAGACAGGCACAAGGCAAAGGCAACTTTTTCTGACGTTTCTTAGCAGTCTCATTTACTTGCAGCTGGGCCATTACAAAAAAGCCTCTTCCTTAATTATTGACAGAAACCAGAGCCAAATCATTTTCCTTGTCTTCTGACCTATCTCTCACTCAATTGAATGCCTTCGCCTGTAAGCTTCTTTGAAGACCAACAAAAGCTAATGGTGTCAGCATCAATATCCACTATAACTCACACATGGCACTGGTTCATGCTGCATGGTGGTCCACTCTACAACTCATCCCATCTCATCTAATTCGATGTCTCGACAATCATTGATTGTTGAAGGACGTGATAGAACTGGATTTAATCCTATATCATAGTTGTGAAAAATATATTGATGTGAATATGCAAGTAAGGTTTTCTTATTATTTTGTGCAGTAGTTTTTTAGTATAAAAATTTATTGAAAGTTAAAAAAATATAACTATTTAAAGCTGTTCCAAACAAATCCTAAGTGAGCAATTTAGTATTTCTATCTTGATATATTAATTTTTTTATATTTGATGTATGATGAAATATATATAACATCTTATTTTAATCATTGAACAACAAGAGTTTGTTTTTATTTACGGCTTTTTTACTACTTATGAAAGCAGTTTTTTAGTATAAAATTAAAATTTTTATGCTAAAAAGTTGTTTTAAGAAGCAGTAAGAAAGTCGTATCAAACTAAGCCTTCATAGCAAGGGAAACTTGGGATGATGAGTGAAAACTTAGCAACAGTTAATACATTGTAGTCCTCCACTTTGGATTGTGAAAGGATTTGAAGATGAGTAGGGACTGGGGAGTATCTATTTATCAAGTACATTGTAGGATAAGGAAGCTGGTGTGGAAGCTATTATAATGACTGCTACCTTCTTTTATTCTTTTTTGACCCGAAAGTGTTCAGGTGGTCTCTAAAGAATTGATATCATACGGTTATTTGACTGATAAAAAGAATTTCTTTCTTTTTGTGTGTGTTTCTGTAGTGCGCACTAAGTTATGTTGATTTTTTTTTTTTGGGTGCATACTATTACGTTAATTTATGTAAAAGAAAATTAATGTTGTATTTTTTATTTTAGAAATATTATGTAGAAATAAAAGATGAAATAAAATAAATCATTTTATTAATATCAACTAAAATATTGCAATATAAAATTCAACATTTAGTTGGAGTTTGAAAATTTTGAGGTGGAAAGTTGATTTCTATAATCATTAACTGTTAAAATACAACTCTTGCATAAGATAGCAGAATCATAAAATCATCATCCTTATTAAATCCGAACATCAGTTTATTATGAATCTTCCACAGTTCTATCATTTTCATCATCACTACACGTGCCTAAAATATTTGATATAATTAATTAATGATTACTTTCAAATATTTGATAGGCAAAATTTTCTATATTATAAGATTTCGTATAAGAGATTAAGCTTAATGCTTAACAGTAAAGCTTTTACAGGTTTCAAATGAGTGCGTTTCTGACGCAAAGAGAAAATGACAGAGTCCAAAAATAAAAGAAAGAAAGAAAGAGCAAAAGTTTCAAAGATTCCAACATCAAATCGAAAAGAAATCTATCGTTCTTGAATTAATTCCTTCTTATCGAAAAATCTTACAGGTCTTCGCATATTATAGCGAAGTCATTTGATTCCATTTTCCTGTCCATTTCAACATATATTAGAGAAGGATTTACATGCATTTTATAAAATTTATTTTTATGTATGTATTATTTTAATTTTTATATTTATTTATTTATTTAGATGCGATTTAAGCACTAAATTTTAATGTAAATAATTATAAAAATTTACATATTAGATATGTAATCTCTCTCTCTCTCTCTCTCTCTCTCTCTCTCTCTTTATGTTATTATATTCTTATTCATTTTTTTTTTGGGTAAATATTCTTATTCATTTAATAAACTACCTACTTAAATTCATTTTAAATTAAAGTTAATAGGTCGCACAAAATTGAAGACTGGAAGATCGATTCCATGGTTGATTCCCTCCCCCAAAGCCCTCGATCAATCCTATATGAGTGGGCTGGTTTGAAAGGGCATGTGCCCTCCCTACCTCTCCTCGCATGGAGGGGACGCCTAGAAGGCTAATGAAATTTTGAATAAACAATAAGAACCATTAAAATCAACTTAAAAATGAATGAAAATCAATGAATAAATATCAAATTTTAAGAAAAGAGGAAAATTTAACCCATTAAACAATGAATGTATAATATCGCTCCAAATCATCATATTTTCATTTACTTAGGTTAGATTTAAAAATCCTAAAAATAGCTTGTTTGATGGTGACTATTTTTTTAGTAGCAAAGTTGAAGACAACTTCAACAAAAAGAATAGGAAGATGCAAAACAAAATATCACGGAATTGATACTTATTAAAATAGAGGGGCTGAATTGGCTATATGATAACACTAGGCCTTCAAGTTATACTTGCAACTCTATATCAAAGATTTTACATCCATAAGAATAATCAATAAGTAGTTTCATTCTTCATAAGATATTTAACATCACTTAATGTTAGATTAATGTTAGAAAAAGAGTAATTGTTGACCCTGAAATTACTTAAGCTATTCTTCTTTTAGAAGTTGGTTTCATCATTACTACAATCATCTTTTTAAAATACACTACAAGAAATTCATCAATTACCGTCGGTTTGGACCGACAGTTCTGTTACCGCCAGTAATAACGGCAGCTTAACCGGCGGTTTGACCGCCGGTGTTTATCGGCGGTCTAACCAGCGGTAATTTAATTCAAAGCCGTCAGAAGTTTACTAAAACCATCGGTAAATACCGGCGGTTTGCCGACGGTGTCCAGCGGTATGTCGGCAATACGCCGGCGGTCTCACCATCGGCAATTCCTTCGGTTGTGACCGCCGGATAACTGTCGGTAAATCACCGGCGGTTTACCGGCGGTCTACGCTGTTATAACGACGATAATAATACCAATGTTTGAACAGCCGGTACGTCGTCGGAAAGAAAACTGGCGGTCACCGGCGCTTTGACCACCGAAAACTAATCGTCGATGAAAAAAACCGTCGGAAAAGGTTTCCTATGCGGTTTTTACCGGCGGCTTTTGAACCGCCGAAAAGCTGCTAGTGTTTTACAGAACCGCTAGAAATCTAATGCTAACCGCCGGAACAAATCGCCGATAATGAGTGATTTTCCTGTAGTGATAACTCTGTGTTGATTCATTGTCAAATTCATCTATTGAAAGTAAGCATCAAAGGAGCCCAAGCTATGTTAAGGAAAAGGTTGGTTTGGTCCAAATCTTGTTAGGTGAAGACAACAATGATGTTTTAATGAGAAGGAGAAGAGGAACTTGCAATGAAAGCTCATTTGGAGACAATCTTGATATGTAAAACGAAGAGATTTTCATAGACATAGTTCATAAAGGAAGGCAACAATGCAGCTACTAGTGTGAGAAGTCTTATTCATATATGTACTCTTATTTGTATTAGATGTACTTCTATGAGCCAAAGGACTAATTCTTCAAATTACACATTTGCGTTTAACCATATGATAGTAGTGTATGGAGATGTTAGAAGAATAAGTGAGATGGAAAAGTAGTATCTTGAGTTTTAGCATATGGGTATTGATCATGTTCTGACTGCATTCAATATTCATAGCATTTTCTCTCCTTCGATACAATTGTCACTAATGAGCATTTTGACATGAATTTTATGTAAGAGAAATAATAATTATGCAAGAGTAATGAGAAAATGTGAAAATACATTGAGTGAGTGCAATAATAATATAAAACATATTATATAAGTGTATTTGAAATGCAAAATATACTAAAACACACCGTGCATATGCTCTGACAAACTTGTTAAAGTTACAAACACAAATATTTGAGAATATTGCTTAGGTTCAAATGCTCACTAATATAATAGTTTGTTTGCAAACTAAACATAACATGCATGTGATCTGATAAATACGATAAATTTGCAAACGCCAATGTCGGATAATGTTGCGCGGGTTAAATATTCAAGTTTCATCCTCCTCAAAATAACTGGAATTGATATGACTTAAATCATAAAATACTTTCCAAATTCCTACAAAAATACAAGTGACTTTAATACCACCCCGATAATAATTGTGTTGGTAGAAAATCTCAACCGGATGGTCAAATCTTAAACCTAAGAAGTATATGAATTCTTAAGATAAAATCTATCACATAAATAATTTAAAACTAAAACTCATCCATTTCCTGCAACCATTTGTGAGGGTGATAAATTTTAAATTAACTTTAGCTCACAAAGAGCGAATGGCGTGTTAAGTGTATCACTAAGAATTATCATCAAATAGTTTTTTGTCAGTAGGGACGTGGTACGTACATGCCCTTTTATCGGGTAATTTTGCCGCAAAAATGCTCAATTATATTATGATCACGGCCAAAGCTCATATGTTCCCTAATGTTTCATATATGTAATTCAATTACAATAACAACTTGAGTTAAAAAGAATGTCAATAAAAATTGAGCACTTTCAAAGAACATATAAAAAATTGAACTAATAAATAACTACTTTTTTTGGATAAAACCCACCCACTGGCCTATGCGTTAATATTAAAAAAAGGGGCAAGATCGTTAACTAGTTCCCTACTGCTCAAAAGAGTTACAAAAAAACCTCTAAGTCGATCGGTGGTCCCTACTAAG